AACAGTGCTGCGATGAACATTGGGGTGCACGTGCCTCTTTCAGATCTGGTTTCCTCGGTGTGTATGCCCAGAAGTGGGATTGCTGGGTCATATGGCAGTTCTATTTCCAGTTTTTTAAGGAATCTCCACACTGTTCTCCATAGTGGCTGTACTAGTTTGCATTCCCACCAACAGTGTAAGAGGGTTCCCTTTTCTCCACACCCTCTCCAGCATTTATTGCTTGTAGACTTTTGGATAGCAGCCATTCTGACTGGCGTGTAATGGTACCTCATTGAGGTTTTGATTTGCATTTCTCTGATAATGAGTGATGTTGAGCATCTTTTCATGTGTTTGTTAGCCATCTGTATGTCTTCATGTATATTATCAAGTGTGAAACAGATCGCCAGTCCAGGTTGGATGCATGAGATAAGTGCTCGGGGCTGGTGCACTGTGATGACCCAGAGGGATGGGGTAGGGAGGGAGGTGTGAGGGGGGTTCAGGATGGGGAACACATGTAAAATACATGGCTGATTCATGTCAATGTATGGCAAAACCCACTACAATATTTTAAAGTAGTTAGCCTCCAACTAATAAAAATAAATGGAAAAAAATAAAAAACAAACAAACAGCAATTCCACTCCTAGATATATGCTCAAGAAAAATGAAGACATATGTCCACACAAAAACTAGTACATGACTGTTCATAACAGCATTATTCATAATAGAAAAAAAGTGGAAGTAACTCAAATGTCTATCAACTGATGAATAGTAAATAAAATGCAGTAGATCCATGTAAAGAAATATTGTTTATCAATAAAAAAGAGTGAAGTATTGATACATGGAACCATCTGGAGGGAATTTCAGAACATTCTGCTGAGTGAAAGAAGCTAGTCACAAAGGGCTAGATATTGTATTATTCCACGACATTAATTGTCCAAATATATAGAGACAGAAGGTAGATTAAAGGTTGCTTAGGGCTTGAGGGATGGCATTGGAGGGTGATAAGTTACCATCTTGGCTAATGAAATATCCTAAAATTGATTGTGGTGATGGATATATAACTATGAATATAAATAAATCATTAAATTATGCACTTTCAATGGGTGAATATTATAGTAAGTGACTAGTATCTCCATAAAGCTGTTAAATAATTTTGGTCAGGGATAACTGTCTCCAAGATTACTTTTTAAAAATTTTTATTTATTTATTTTCAATTGGAGGATAATTGCTTTACAATATATTAGTTTCTACCATACAGCAACATAATCAGTCGTGGGTATATGTCCCCTCCCTCTTGAAAATCTCCCTCCTCCCACCGCATCCCACCCCTCTAGGTTGTCACAGAGCTCCCTGCATCATACAGCAAATTCCCACTAGCTATCTGTTTTACATATGGTAATGTATATGTTTCAGTGTTACTCTTTGAATTCGTCCCTCCCTCACCTTCCCCCACTGTGTCCACACGTCTGTTCTCTACGTCTGCATCTCCACTGTTGCAGGATTCCTTCTATGTCCAAGGTAGATAATCCTCTTAAGGGTCCTCAGAGCAGACATTTTGAGTGGACATCATAGAATCCTAAAAAGGTGTGTCTTTTTGTGTGCCCCCTCTTCCACTCTTGTATTAGGGCAAAAAAATATGTGTTATTTTTGTAGCTAGCACATAGTAGGCACTCAAATAATTGTTGAATGGTAATTGTAAATCTTCAGATCAAAGATCAAATCCAGGGTAATATTCAAATAAAACGTGAAGTTTCAAATAGAAAAGAATTTTTCTAAGCACGAACATGTGTATCATTCCCAAACCCTTAGGCAAAACTTCCATTTGGTTTCTAAGTGGAAGCCAAACCAAATTTATATATCTTATTGAAATTATATGTACCTACTATATACCCATTTCCCAAATCTATTCTTTAAAAATGATAGTTTAAAAAAAAGGTAAAGTATTTAACACAGTCCACACCTAATAGTAAGTGCTTAATAAATGTTAGGTAACATTAACAAACAAAATAAATGCTAATTAAAATTGCCTCAACAAACTTCTGGCAAAATTCAGACACAGAGAATGAAGTAGAATTCTGGATGACTAACTATAAAACTAAAGAAAAATCCCTCAAATATGCTGGCCTAGAAAAGTCCTATATGAATAACAGTGAACAAACAGCTATAGCCAAACATGTGGTCTGGAAAAAAATAATAATAAAAAGGGTAGACTAACTTGGGGATGGTAATAATAAAAAAGACAACCCTGTACAAATTTTTCAGAAACATAAATATTATACTCTAATAGACAAAGTATGATTCATTTAAGATCAAATCCTTAAGACTATTTCTGCTTGAGAAATCTGGTAATATGCACTAAAATGATTAAAGCTTACACTTGGTTTCCAGAGTATTTTTCAGTTTTTCACACTGTTTAATTCAGCCTCCATCAGTTAAGGTGTTTTTGCATACCAGTAACATAAAACCCTCCTCAAAATAAATTAGACAAACACGAGACATAATACATTCTGAAGTAAGGAATCTCTAGAGTTCTCCAGTTTAGCAATTCAGTGGCTCATCAAGGTCTCGGAGTCTTACCATCCTCTTGCTCAGCCATCATCAGTTATCACGGATGCTCGCTCATAGTTTCAAGATGGCTACAGCAGTCTATCGCATTCTTGTGCTCCATCATGGACAGGAAGAAAACTCAATCTCTTTCTCTGTTCCGTCTCTCTCATTCCCCCTTCCCTCCCTCACTCTCTCCTTTTGGAGAGTCTTTTTAAAAGGTAAAAAGTTTTTCTATGAGCATCTCCTGCAAATTGCCCTCCTGTCTCATTGGCCATAATTGGGTCGTAGGCCTTTCAAGACTAATCTTGACAGAAGGAAGAGAGTTTCCATGGTTGATCTGGGTGGAGCTTGGATGAACCTTTCATTCTTCTGAAGCACATGGCTAGGAAGAATATAGTGGATACCTAAACCAATCTGGGGTTCTGTTGGCAAGACTGAAGGTGGTAACTAGGCTACTTAGGTACCAACAGTGTCTGCTATACAGCCATAAAAATTGGCTCTAAGTATAGAGAAATCTGACTTCTGGCTGGATCACGGCATTTCAGACCCATCGGGGAGCTGTTTTTTTAAGAGGAAACACTTTGAACCTGAATAAATTCGCAATGTATATTGTTCTACTCCACACTGCTGCATCTTGAAAACTTTTGGCAATTGTTTCATGTATCTTATTTTCCAGCATGGCCAGTCCCCAAACAGTAGGCTTTGTGAAGGAAAGAATCCTTGTGAGAAATCAGAAATCAGCTGCAAGCGGCTGCAGAAAAAATGAGTCTTTTGTAAGCATTTATACCAGGGCTGTTTTCATTAATTGAATCAGAAGTTTGTCTAGACTCACAAAAGTGAAGCAGCGGTGTTATTGTAAAGTAGTATGTCTTTCTTTGGGCTTCCGTGGCGGCTCACACGGTAACGAATCTGCCTGCAGTGAGGGAGCCCCGGTTCTGTTCCTAGGTGGGAAAGAGCCCCTGGAGAAGGGAATGGAAATCCACTCCAGTATTCTTGCCTGGAGAATCCCATGGACAGAGGAGCCTGCAGACTACAGTCCATGGGGTCTCAAAGAGTCAGACACGACTGAGCGACTAACACAACACACACACACGCGTCTCTGTTTAACCTCAATAAGAGAATCATTTATTGATCAGTTGTTTACTGTAATTCTTAAAACTTAAGACAAATAGCATATGATATTACCTATATGTGGAATCTAAAATATGACACAGATGAACATACCTATGAAACAGGAACAGGCTTACAGACATAGAAATCTGACTTGTGGATGCCGAGGTGGCAGGCACATGGGGAGGGAAGGATTGGGAGTTTGGGATTAGAAGATGCAAACTATTATATGTAGGATGAATAAACAACAGGGTCCTACTGTACAGCATGAGGAACTATATTCAATATCCTGTGATGAACCATAATAGAAAAGAATATGAAAAAAATGTTTATACATGTGGATAATGGAGTCACTTTGTTGTAGAGCAGAAATAAGCACAGCACTGTAAATCAGCTGTGCATCCACGTGCTAAGTCGCTTCAGTCATCTCCGACTCTTTGCAACCCTAGGGACTGTAGCCCGCCAGGCTCCTCTGTCCATAGCATTCTCCAGGCAAGAATACTGGAGGGGGTTGACATGCCCTCCTCCGGGGATCTTCCCAATCCAGGGATTGAACCCACATCTCTTATGTCTCCTTCATTGGCAGGCAGGTTCTTTACCACTAGTGCCACCTGGGAAGCCTGTACATCAACTGTATTTCAGTATTTTTAAAAATTAAAAAAAACTTTAACTTTTTAAATGATGGATCAATTAATTGTGTTTTTCCCAGTCTTAGTAAGTGTTCACTAGCTAATTTAAAGACTACACCTGAGAGGCTTGTTTGGCGATAATCACCTGTCCTATTTATTGCCTTTGGAAGTCTGCTGAAGGCAATGCTTATCAGCGGGAAAATGTCAAAGTTGAGGATACCATCTCTTCCCTGGTGACATGATTTATTTCAGAGAGGCACTAAGGCATTTTATGCATTGTCATCGAGACGTCATTGAGATGTGTTGTTGGAACCCAGAGCCAAAATCAAATGGGGAGAGGAAAGCAACTGATCTTCTTTGAGCTCTGCCAAGAGCTTTACCTACTTTTTCTCCTTAATTTACTCTTTACAATGAATGTACGAATAAGCACCCCATGTTATAAATGGAAGACTTAAAGACCATAAAGTTTTAAGTGGCTTGCTAAATTTATCCCATTAGTAAGTGTTGAAAACAGTCATTCAGACTCTAATATCCCTAGAGCCCCCTAAAACATAATGTGATGATTAATACAAAATATTCAAATGCAAGACAGTTATCTGTTGCTGAATGATATTTATTAGCTTAATAATTTGGGCCTGCCCTTAGCATTAATAAGCTTCAGCACTAGTCACAAGGTTTTCATTCATTGATGGGGAACTTTTCTTATTTTAAAAAATGCAGTTAGGGAAAGGGCATCTACTTCTTGGGGGCTGCAGCGACAGCCGGCTTCTCTTCACGGGTGATGGGAATGGTGCGCTCAGGGCCGGAGGGCTGTTTCCTTGGTCCATTCACAGTGAGGACCCCGTCAGACGACAGGGACGAAGTAATGGTGAGAGGGTCCACGTCAGCTGGGATCCGGTATTTCCTGTGGAACTCTCGGGAGATAAAACCATGTTCATCCTAAACCAAGAGAAGGAAAGAGGTAGAAGGAAAGAGGTAGATAAGAACAGAAACAGCATTACTTGTCTAGAACTCAGACATTCTCCTTCCCCTTAGCTGTGACCAAATGCATGGCAACATGAGAGAAAGCGAAACGGTTATTCTGTTGGGTCTATGATGGAATTGCCTAAGTGGTCACTCCTACCAATGAGAATCTGAGAGGTCTGAACAGCCAAACTTCTTAGCTCGCCAAGCCCTGAGCTGTGGATGTGTTCAACGGTATTTCCCAAAGGTTTTAGATCAGTGTTTGTTGGGCCTACGGGATTTGGAATATCATCTCGATTTAAAAGTTGAATCTCTTAAGAAAGCCCAGAAATTGTCCTGATGCTTCAGGAATGTTCCAGAATGTTCCAGACCAATAGGTCTAATAATAATAACAAAAACAATAATAAAGACTACACCCAGGAGACTCTGATCTAAATTAAATCATAGCAAAACTGAAACAGCCTGAGGACCTCACACTATACTATTGGATGCACAAGTTTCTGTGTTATAACTAATCAGTAAGAAGCAAACTCACTGAAAAAGTCTCCCAGAAAGTAATGAGAAGTTATTTCATTCTTTAGAACTCTCCTGAAGAATTCCAGCCCTAACCTTTATACCTCATAAATCTCAAGCATTTATTTAGACGGGCTGTCAACTGATTTCCACGTGGGTCTAGCGTATTAGGAGCTGAGTACAGCTCTGAAATTTAGGCAAACCAAGTAGTTCAGCATTAAGATGGGCTAAAGAGAAGTGACTTCTGGAATACCTAAAAGTCTCAAATTCAAGGGCCTTCCAAGTGCATGCAGTTAATACAATTATGTAAAACAATCAGAGGTCTGAAACCACTATTTAAATCAGTGGTCTTCAGCCTTCACTGTGCATTAGAATTCCCTAGGGAGCTTTTTAAAGCTCTTGATTTAAATAATTTGGGATATGCCTGAGGATTTTTCTTTTTCTTCTTTTTTCTTTTTTTAATTCCTCTGGTAATTTTAACTTTGGCAAAGTTGAGAACCACTGGCTTAAACAGGAACATCCCATCTATCCCTGAGGCGATCAAATCAAAATAAGCAACAAAGATCTGGCCAAAACAACAACAGGTTTATCCCTGTTCCTGACCCCAATGGCTTAGGACTGGAATGTTGCCGGCCTCAAGGGCTGAGGGCAATATCTGGCATATAGCATGCCCTGGAAAAAGAGCAGAAGAGAAAGTCAGCTACATACCTGGCGCTCTTCATGTTTGCCATGCACCTCAATCACATCTCCCAGCACCTTGACCTTGAGTTCCTCTGGGGAGAAGTGCTTCACATCCAGGTTGACAGAGAATCTGTCCTTCTCCAGACGCATCTGGAAATAGCAAGGTGGGGACAGGGTAAGAGAAAAGGGTAGGAATGTAAATGATACTAGTACAATCTCATCATTCTGCAGATTTGCTCTCTGTCCAGGTAGTTTATCCTCCTCTTTTTAGCTAAAAATTCCTTTTTGAATAAACATGCCCTCTGGCTCAGGGGCATCACCATAGTGGTACCCTAGGCACATCACTTGTCATCAGGCCCAAACTTTATTGACAGGGACAGGGAAGAAGACAGGCCACCCAGGGGACAACGCACAAAGATGGGTCGCGGCATGCCTTCTGCTGTTTCTCCAAGCCAATGCCTGGCCTTGTCATTTGTCTGTGAGACAAAGGCCCCTTCTTCTTACTCAGGTCTCTGCCAAGTTTCCCACCCACTCAATCTGGAATGTTCTGCTAGCTCCCATTGTCCTTCCAAAGCCCTTGCCCACTCAGCTCCTGTTTACTCACACTTGAATATTTTTAAACCAGAGTGTTATCTGTGACAGCTTCTGTCACTCTTATCTGTTCACCCCATTCTCCCACCGTCTTAGGACAATTGGGGGGGGGTCCCTAAAGTGGACCTACATTCTATCCTCATTAGACTTGGACCCAGGCCAGTGCCCTGTCACAACCCTTAGAAACCCAGAAAATCATAGATGAGGGAATAAAAAGGAAGAAAATAATGGTTGCTGTCTCCAGCTCCATGCAGCAGGGGTGGAAGCTCAGGATAAGGTAAGACTGTCTCCTGGCTCTGAAACTTGAGATGACAGTATTTGTCAGGAGTGTGAGGTGTTAGAAGAGGTGAGCAAAGGAGTCTGAAGGCAGCTCTTTCCCTGCAGACTGTTATGAACCAAACCAGAAAGGGACATCCTACCCAGAAGATAAGAGAGAATGACCTTCATACTGCATGGAAAATGTAAAAAATAGGATACAGAGGCACACCAAATACAAATAGGTGACTGGGGAAGAGAGGAACTAGGGACCTCATCTGTCTTCACTGCAGGACACACAAGTGCCTAAGAGACGCAGGACCCGTAGGCACAGATTTAGGCCAGGAGGAAAAGGACAGTGGATGGAGATGCTTCCAGAAGGTTCCAGAATGAACTCTCCTGTCCAGGCAAAGGGGAGACTTACCTCAGAGAGGCCAGTGTCAATCCAGCTGGGTGCACGCAGAAATGAGGGCGGCCGAAGGTAGAAGGGGCTCAGGGAAGTAGAAGCTGGGAAGAGATCAGACTCCAACAGGTGCTCGCCAAAGAACTGGTCAAAGAGGCGGCTGGGAGAGTGGAAAGGGAAGAAGGGGCGGCGGATCCAGGGGTGGTGGATGGCGATATCCATGGTGGTTAGGTGAGTGTGGGGGGTCAGCTGGCTGGTCAGCTCCTTCAGCTGCAGCTGCGGCCAGCCCCTTATATACGCAGTCTTGTGAAGCTTCTGGAATGGTGATGTCAGGGGTTTTATTATCCCAGCTCACCGCCCGTTCATGGGGACTTGTGATTGGGGATTTGGCAGTATGACACATACCCAGTACTCACTGAGCTAAGAAAAGAGAAAGACAAACGCGCCTGAGCTGGCCAGTGACCTGTCCTGGTCTTGTTTCACTAGCTTTCTGTCCACACCCAATGGCACCCACCCCCACCCCCTCCTCTGGAGTTGGGACTGAGTCAGGAATCCCAAGCAGCGGGCAGTGTGGCCCTCCTCCTCCCCTGCAACCCTGCATGCCAAGGGAATGGGGCCAGCAGCTATCTTGGGCCTGAGCAGGAACTGGAATCTTCCTAGGCTGAGCCCCAGGGACATTAACTCTTTGTGTGCAGTGACCACCAGCATAGCCGTGGCAGGTTTCCACGTGGTGCCCTGGGTTGCCCTGGGTTCAGAGAGGACCCTGACATTCGGCGGGGAAGACTCCTCACCCCACCCCCAAAGAAAGGGTAGAAAGTTGTTTGCATGTTTCATTTTCTGTGGCTGGCAGAACCTCAAACCGAGGGGAGAGCTGTATGAAGTAGGGTGCCGGTTGTCTGCCACTGGGGAGGCGAAGGGGAGGTGGAGAAAAACGTGCAAACTGTTGGTGAGGGTCTCAGCGAGGCCTCTCCGGGCCGTGGGCAGCAGCCTCCCCACGCCGGTTCGCTCCGCAGCCCCGACCCCCAGCTGTCTCGGTGGGGGAGTGCAGGGGGGGGGGGGGGTGGCGGGCAGGCTTGTGACAGCTGAAGGGTGTGCAGGGGAGGGGACGGGGGTCCAGGCGGCGCGGGTCACACGCTGGTGGCGGGCGCCCGCCTCCCCTCCCCCGGGCTCCGCACTATTTTGGGTGGTGTAGACCCCGCCCCCACCCCCGCCGCGCCCCGGCTCGGCGGCAGCTGGAGGGGTCCCGCCGCGCCTGTCGGGGCCGCAGCTCGGACCGGGGCCGCCTGCGCTTCTGCAGTCATGTCGGGCCGCTCCGTGCCACATGCCCACCCGGCCACCGCCGAGTACGAGTTTGCCAACCCGAGCCGCCTGGGCGAGCAGCGCTTCGGGGAAGGTATGGCACGGACGCCACCCCACCCCCCTTGCCTCCCACCCCCACCTCCGGAGATTCTGGGCTGACCTCCCAATGGTAACTGGCCTCCACCCCACTCCGGGCTTAACTGAACTCCTGGGGCGAGTCATCTCCCACCCCAGACTCCCCCCTCGCCGCCCCCTCCCAGCGGGCGCGCTCCCCTTCCTACTGGCCTCGGGGCAGACTGCTGCCCGCAGAGCTCGGAATCTGCCCCTTAGCGCCCCCGCCGCCCAGCCCACCCTGCCCCCCAAGGGCCGTTCCCCCTCTTCGGCCCACGCGGGCCCGGTTTGCCTTGCTCTCCGCTACCCCAGTGTATTCCCTTTCTCCAGCCCCTCTCCCCAGCCGCCTCCCTCCAGCCTGCGGGACCCTCCCCTGCGGCTCCGGCCTCGGCTCCCGCCCCCTGCAGGCCTCCTGGCCTCTCACTTCACCCTCCTTCGCACCCCTTCCTCCGTCAGCCCGCCCTCTCGCCTTTCTCTCTCTCCCTCCTCTCTCCGTCCCGCAGGCCTCCTGCCAGAAGAGATCCTGACCCCTACCCTCTACCACGGCTACTATGTCCGGCCCCGGGCCGCGCCAGCTGGGGAGGGCAGCCGGGCAGGGGCCTCCGAGCTTCGGCTCAGCGAGGGCAAGTTCCAGGCGTTTCTGGACGTGAGCCACTTTACCCCAGATGAGGTGACCGTGAGGACTGTGGACAACCTCCTGGAGGTGTCCGCCCGGCACCCGCAGCGCCTGGACCGCCACGGCTTCGTGTCGCGCGAGTTCTGCCGCACCTACGTCCTGCCGGCCGACGTGGACCCCTGGCGGGTGCGCGCCGCACTCTCCCACGACGGCATCCTCAACCTGGAGGCGCCTCGGGGCGGCCGACATTTGGACACAGAGGTCAACGAGGTCTACATCTCCCTGCTCCCAGCGCCCCCTGATCCCGAGGAAGAGGAGGAGGCCGTCGGTGTTGAGCCCTGAGCGCCACAGACCCAGCGCCCACTGAACCCCTTTCTAGCTCCCGGCCCGTGATACAAGCAGCTGCCCAGCACCCCGGAGGTAGCCGCATCCTTGGGGGAAGGGAAACGTGCATGGTCACAATGTATGGTTTGGTCCCTTGGGACGTGTCATAGCATTATTTTTGTGTTTTGTGTTTTTTTCGTTTAGTTTTGGGTGGAGCTGAATAAACCCAAATCTCAGGGCCTTGTTGTGCCGCTCCCTATTCTGTGGCCTGGAGGAGGGGATGGGCAGGGAAGGAGACAAAAAGGTCCTCAGTTAGGTGGACCCAACGTCACAGCACTCTGAACTCACACGTGGATGCTGACACTGGCTCCGCATCAAATTCCTGGCCATGATTTTCTCACAGTGCAACAAAAGAGAGCGTGATCCTGGGAGGGGAAAGGGATATGCCATCCAAACAGCCCGGAGGGCACTGTCTGAGCTGGTGATTAGAGACACAAAAACAAGGGTCTCCAGACTGTCTGGCCTGTTTTGGGTAGGGGTTGGGAAAGGCTTTTGGATATAGAGTTGCCTAAAGCCCTGGTCTGCCCACGGAAATTGGCCTCTGATTCTGAGGGATCGAGAATGCAGATACAGCAACACAGACACAGAAGCCTCTGCCATTGTCGCTGAACCACAGTTTCCCCACCCTCTGCCTGGGAGGGAAAGCATTTGTTTCTAATCTTGAAACATCCCAAAGAGAGGAATCCCTGCATCCCTCCACCCAGGCCAAGGTGATGATGGCCAAGGAAATTTCCTTTGGAAGTAGAAGTAGAGTCTTAGTACTAGTAGTATGGTATATTCTGGAAAGCCTGGGGGATTGACCTCTTAATTACTTTCTGTAATCAAAAGAGCTTGAATGTGTATGATTTGAGGAGTGTGCAGAAGACTGCCTTGACCCCAAATACATCTTTTACTAGGTTGTGATGGACATCTGAAATTCTTCCATTAAAGTGGTTGGTTGATTCTTAACTTTTTTATAGACCCTTTTAAAAAAATCTTACAAAAGCAATAGATCCTCTTACCAGAAAAATACACATGCTCAGAAATGTGGTACACAATTTGAACAGGTTTACACAGCTCTTGAGATCCATTTATTTGCCCTCTTAGGGATCTGTGGACTCCCAGGAAAAGAACCCTCACTTAAAGAATTCAATTCTTAGTTAAAAGATTGCCATCTGTTAAAAATTAAAGCATGCCTTAGAGAAATAACTATTGATATATCCTTTTGTTTGCTCATTCAACAAATATTTATTTAACCCCCAAGTACTGTGGTATGGAGGTTATACCCTGTAAATATAATTTAAGACTATGCTCCTTTGTTGTCTGCTCTCAGGAATCTTAACATCTAGTTCAGAAGAAAAAGAATTTTAAAAGGATCCTCTTTAGACTTCTATTACAACAGCTTTGCTTTGATCTGTTTTATAATTTTACTTGAGCTTCATTTAAAAGAAAAGTTTCCTGAGCTAGAAAAAAGTTGCAACCTCTGATTTTGTCCAAATTCCCAACCCACAAACACTCTGAAGATTATTAGTCAACTTCTGGGATATTTTTAGTGACAGAGAGCTTAGAACTTCATAAAGTAGCTCAATTCATTTTCTTTTTGGACTTCTTTTGAACCAAAATCTGCATTTCAGTAACTTCTGCCCATTGGCTCATGTTTTGTCTGGAAAATAAGTGCAATCCTTCTTTCCCTTGAGAGTCTGCTCAGATATTTAAAAATATTTAAAAATAACCATCCTGTCCTCCAAAAGCTTCCCTTTCCCAATGAAACATGCCTAATTCTCTTAACCATATTTTATAGGACTTTTCATACCACTTATAACTCAGACAACTTTCTCTTGAATACACTGCCTCTTGACAGTGTAACTTGAAATTCAACATGTAAACCTAAAACTGTTATTCCAATCATGGACTGACTGGTATATACTTCAGTGGAATAATCAATACCCTTGTTTATCACTCTGGACTTCTATTAATGCTGCTTAGAGTGTATCACGTTTTCTGACTGCCACAACACAGTGCTGGTTCCTTTGGAGTTTCTGGTCATATAAAAAATCTCTAATTTAAGGAAATTAGCTGAAAAGGGACCAGATTATGAAAGGCTTTGAGTACCAGGCTAAGAAGTTTGGGTAACAGGATGAAAAGAATACAATTAATAGTAGAGTACAGAGTGGATTGCCAGGAAGAAGCATGGTCATGAAATAAGAGGCTAGTGCAATGGTTTAGCACCAGGTAATAAAGTAAGATGCTTTACCATCTAACAATTAGCTGAGAACAAAAAGTAATAATAATGACCATAGCTAGGACTTACTGAAAGGGTCCCATGTGTCAAGTCCTGGATTAGAGTTTTATATACATTATCTCACTTAATTTCCCACCACAATCCTATAAGGCTGTTTTTTTAATCCCTGTTTTTCATAAAGAAAGAAGACGGAGGAAGAATGACTCTGTGGAGTACAGGGCTGAGTGCTGGATTCCGAACATCCTTAAAGGACACACAAATAAATGGGCATTTAAACAATACACTAAAGATGGGGTGGGAACACTGAAGTCAAGCCGTGTAGGTTCCACAAATTCTCCAAGAGTCCGTATTTTCTACTAAGGAATTTGCTCAACCACATCCTAGTTGCCAATGTGTGGAATGAGTCTAACCTCGGACATTGGAGAAGTTGAGTCGAGATTAAATGGAGATTCCGTAGTTCTGTACTGAGGACAGGGAAGTGAATGGTTAAGAAGCGCTGAGACCACTCCAATCATAAAATCATATGATTTTTGACCAGAAAGGGGATTAAGTAATGAATTCAGTCTTCCATTTTCACAGGTCCTAGAAAAAAAGTAATTTGCCCACATTCATTCCCCTAGCAAGAGAGAATGCAAAAGAAATACATTTCCCTAAATTTTAGTTTCCAAAAGAGTCCAGTCTTCAAACTCAGATTCTGGACAGGGATAATGAGAGATTAATACCAATGACCTTCAAAGTGAAACACAAACCTGGGGAGTGCTGGGGAAACACAGGTAAAACTTTGATTATAGAGGATATATTTCAATGACAGTGTGATGCAGTACAGAAATATTTCCTAAGGAAACACTGAAGCTTGAGCCTCAGAATTCATGCTTCCTCAAAGCAGCCCCAAATCCCGAAGGTGAGATGGCTCTCACCTGGACCTCGTGTGTGTTCCTCTATCCTCTGGCTGGAAGCAGTCACCTGGGAATCTTTCCAGCAGGTGGCTTCCAAAGTCCAACCTGTTAGGTTGAAATCTGACACTGACAGAGACTCCCCGGGAGCCACTGCTGAAAGCTGAACCGGGAACCAGGAAATGCACAAGCCTCTTTCGGTGGAAGAAGAGCGGGGCTCCCTAGAAGACAGAGCACCATGGGAAACCAGCTCTGCTGCGGGGGAAGCTGGTGAGTAGGGGGAAAGGTCGGAGGGCAAGGTCTCTGCTGGCGGACAGAGGCCCCAGGGATAAGAGAAAGCCTGCCGGGAGCGCTCTGCCAACTCTCCACTGTCACCTGCTTCACCTGGCACCCCCAGGAGCAGCACCCCATTCTGTGCCCCCTCCTTTCAGGAAACCTCAGAAACACAACCAAGGCAGCTGTCTGCCAAACGACGAGGACAGGGATGGAATGGTGAATCGATGTTTTTTCTGTTTGTCTTCCTCTTCCTCCTCGTTCCCTTTATTCTCCTCCTTTCTCCCCCAGATAATGGTAATAATTTGAGAACTTTATTATGTTCCAGGCTCTTAATAATCTTTAATTTTCCCAACAATTCTAAGGGAGGTGTGGCCTTACCCCTTCTCCTGTTTTACAGCTAAGAAGCTAAGGCTCAGAGAAGTTAACTAATTTGTCTGAGGTCACATGACTAGTAAGCAAATAAACCAAGATTCCAACCCAGGCCTGACTTCAAAGCCCCTACTTTTTTTTTGGACTATACCATACAGCATGTGGGATCTTAGTTTCCTGACCGGGGATGAAATTCTCACCCCCGGCTTTGGAAGCACAGAGTCAACCACTGGACCATCAGGGTAGTCCCTCAAAGCCCATACTTTTAACCACTACACAATACCATCTCCAGAATCAAGTAAATCAACTGGAGAAATGTTTATTTAAAAGGGGAGAAGTGAGGAGAAGGAGAATATCCATGGAATGTTTGAATATAACTTTCACATTTGTTTGCTGTATGACTTTAGGCAAATCCTGTGACTTCTCTTCTTCCTCATATATAATGTAGATAACATGATGTATGTTGTTAAGATCACAGACTTGAAGAGCAGATAATATGGGAATGCCTCAAAATAAATGAATTAAATTGTCTTTATTGTTCTTTCCCATTATTATCATCACTGTTGTTAAATAGCAAAAATTCAGCCAAGTAAATTTTCAAAATTTAATTGACGTTATTGAAGGGCTCATAATGAGGTAGCATCTTATCTAGCAAGTAGAAAGAAGCTCTGAGAAGCTGTACAAAATGGAAGGCTCTCACAGGCAGAAGAGGGAGGGGTCAGGGAAGAGCAGATGACCTCATCTTCCTTTGGGCAATGGAAAAGGTCTATGTGACAGACTACCCCACTGGTGCTGACCAGATAATTCCAAACTGACCATATAAGACTATGCTCCTGGAGAAGGTTGAAACTCCAGTTAGGCTGGGTATCAAGCCATGGTTTGATGATGTGAGCTTAGCACAAGCAACACCATTCAAAGCCTGTTATTTCTTTTTAACACGATAGCCCCCTGGACCTGGTTTTATCCTGTCCGCTGCTTTCTTCTATACTACTCCAGGCCTGCATCTGTCTTGAGGATGTCCTATTTCTGAATAAAGTATCATGTTTAGAGAGATAGCTGAGGTACATTGAAAAGCACATTGGATTCACGTCCTGTTGCTACTATTCATTCATGTATCTGTTCACTTGTGAAACAAATATTTTATTGAATACTTATGTGTACCAGCCATAATGGTAGAGTCAGAAAGCAAAGTAAAAATAAGAAATTTGGTCCCTGCCTTCTTGAGTAAGATACCAAAGTTTTAGGGCCCTAGTTGGCCCATTTATAAAACAAGAACAAATAATTTTCCAGAATATTGTTAGGATTGAAAAAACAAAGGAAGCACGTTTACAACTCTGAGATATCCTATAGACAGAAGACATCTAGAAACATAAAAAATTCCAGAGGAGGGGGTGTAATGTGTCTTTCACTCCCTTTTTCCCCAAGTCTTCATATCCTTCATGTTTGGGTATTTCTTCCTCTGATGATGGTAGTCATAGTAGTCAGCTTTGGCCAATGCTCATTATACACCAGACACTTAGCTGAGTATTTTACATCTATTATTTTATTTAATTTTTACAGTAATGCCATGAGGTTTAAGTTCTATTATTATCTTCATTTAATTAATAAGAAAATGGAGGGACTTCCCTGGCAGTCCAGTGGTTACGACTCTGTGCTTCCATTGCAGGGGATATGGGATTGATCTCTGGTCAGGGAACTAAGATCCTGCATGCCATGTGGCACAGTCAAAATTTTTTTAAAAATAAATAAAATGAAAATGGAAGCTTCATGAAGTAGAAAACTTGCTAAAGATCATAGAGCTAGTCTGATACTATCATCTAAATCTAGAGCCTGGCTAGAAACACTACACCAGATAACCTAACCAAAATATATATTTTTTCCTCTTGATTATTAGTAGGACTGGATAAATATTGTTCTTCTCTATTTCTCATTATCTCAAACTTCCAGAAACTTAAAGGCACTATGACAACTGAAAAGATTTTTATAAAATTTTTTTTTTGATTACAAAAGTAATACATATTCTCCGTAGAACATTTGGAAAATACCAAAGAGCAGAAAGTAAGAAACAACCATAAAGAGAAGCACCCAGAGATGACAGGAACATTATAGTGTATTTTCATGTAATCCTTTTAAAATTTTTATATGCATAGTTTTTATCCCAAAACGTATTGGCTTTTAATTATCTTAGTAAAGAGGAAAAATTTCCATGCTATTAGGTGTTCTTCCAACATCTTTCTTAAATTGATGTATGACATTCCATTGATTGGAGATGCCATTTATTTAGTTAGTTCCCAATGTTGGACATTTAGGATATTTCCTATTTTTTGAAATCATAAATAATGCTGTAATAAATATCCATATATCACCTGTCTGATTATAGGTTAGAACTGCTACATCAGTGGTTACATACATTTATGTTTACGGCCTCTCATACTTATTGCCAAGTGCATTCTAGAAAAACTGCACCAATTTTTATTCTTACTACCAATATAGGAGACTACCCATTTGGTTTCCTTAATTCTGAGCTAAAAATAAAATCCTATCACCCACGAGACTAACTGAATATTCCATCTGGGTTCATGTCCAGGCATTGTGCAACATCCAACTTGGGAACAGGCTCTGCTCACTAAATCTGAGTCACCTAAGTGCATCTTATTTTAGAATTATTATTTTCTTTATCAGTTTAAGTAGAAGTAAGTAGGAAGAGAGGAGTGACCAGGGGCGAGGACTTAGAGGCTAGGATTAGGCTATGCTTATGCAATGTTAAGAGAAAGGAAGAGCTGAAGTGGCAGAAGAGGAAGTAGAAAAACCCAGAAATAGTTTCTAAAGCTTTTTTTTCTGAACCACCTGTAGAGTCTGGATGGAGACTAACTGCTCTCAACTCAGCAAGCTGCATTAAAACCAAAAATCAAACCAAAACACGAATCTCTGTCAGATATGTGTGGAAAAAGCCTAAGTTTTCTACAGTAGTAAAACAAACATGATTTAGAAGTCCTCTTCCCCCTGTCTTTTTAATTAGCTAAAGAAGGAAACTTCCTTGGGGAGACAGAAGTCAAACAAATAGAGTTGGCTCTGGTGCGAGCTGGAAATGTACTAGCAAGAAAAAGCATCCGGAGTAAGCCGCGAAGTATTCAGCCTATTTCCTCAGACAAGTGTTGTTCTCTGGCCATCAAACAGTTGACACCACGTAGACTTGCTGGCTCCATCGGGGACCCTAGGGGCTCAGAAATAAGTATAAGAGAGCTGTCCTGCAGCGAAGGCAATGTAGCTGAGTCACTTACCAAATTCAGAGCTTCCTGGGCTGTGGACGTCAAAGGTTAAACTTCTCTCTCTCTCTGTTAATTAGAAACAAGGACAAAGAAGCAAGGATGGGGGTCATCTATCAGGAAAGGGCTTTGTGGGGCCTTAATGAGTCAACCTTGGTTGTGGCAGCTTCTGTGACTCCCAGGATAAGAATCCTGGGTTGATAGAGACCCTGAAAAAAAGAAGCGAAAGGAAAAGCAAGAGGGTCTCTGAATCCAGGAATATCCCCTTATTTGGCAGGATTCCCTTGCCCTCTGCTGGGATTAGCCTGTTAGACAATCCCAGAATAGCCCTCAACCCAACTACATCTCCAGCACGTAGCACCTGCTTGCCTGGGGCTATATTTTGGGTTTGGTTGTGTCAGTTGTACCACTCCACCATCCAGAACCATCCCTTTGGGAGAGGTGTGGTACCCTTGAGAAATGCTCTGGGGCTGGCTCAGGGTGAATCTTTGTTGGAGGGAGGTGAAGGAGGGTCATCCCACCAGAATGTTAAGGAGACCACAGAGCAAAGGATGCAGGAGGGAAGACCGAGGCCATGTTCTTACACATGGGTGATCTGTTTTTCCTTTCACAGGAGCTGTACGTCAACTTTACAGAGGAAAAAGAAAATAGGTAATGGAGTTGGGGTGTGGGGTGCTGGGGGGAGTGCAAATTAGAGAAAAGAGGATAATAGAACCAGTGTCTTAAGAAAGGGTGTAAGGTGGAGCAAGGCTAAAGGGAGATAGTACACTAAAGAGATCTTTAGGTTCCAGACCACTTCTGAAACTCTGAACCTCATCCTTTCCATTATCTAAGAGTGGCAAGAGAGGTTGTTCATTCTTTCATTCATCCAGCAAAAATTTACAGAACACTTACAGTGTATGTGAAGCACTCTGCAGGATCTGGAGGAGGCAGACAGGCATGACGGGAAAGGTACACTGAGGTCTGGCCCTAGAAGAGCTGAAAATAAAGTCTGAGAGAGAGATACACAGAGAATCGTAATACCATGTACTAGTGCTCCCAACAGCACCACACTCAGGCTGTTACAGAAGGGGAGAAAACACCCATATTGAAGGAATAATAGCAAGTTTATAAGGGGGAAGAGAAGCAGGGAGCATGCAGAAACAAGAAGAGAGAGAAGAGAGTGACTATGAAGTGACCAAATATTTGCTGTAGCTGAGCTCTTAGCACATTGCACTGTAATAGCCTGTATGCTTCTGTCTCCCCTAGTAGACTGCAAGCTCCCTGCAGTGGAGAAAACAGCCAACTCATCCTTCTATCCCCAGAATGCTGACACAGAGCCTGGCATACCATGGAATCTCAATACATAATTGTTTTGGGTTTTTTTGTTTTTACTTTATTTTATTTTGGCTGTGCTGGGTCTTTGTTGCGGTGCGAGGACTCTGTTGTGGCACATGGGTTTAGCTGTTCCTCTGGTACGTGGGGATCTTAGTTCCCTGACTAGAGATTGAACCTGTATTCCCTGCATTGGAAGGCGGATTCTTAACCACTAGACCAGCAGGGAAGTCCCAACATAAAATTGTAAAATTATGTTAGGGGCCGTTGAAACATTAGGATGGAAGGTATTATTGGCAGATCGTAAAAGGGTCAGGTTGTATACTCTGCTAAGGAGTTTGGATGTGGGAATGGTGGAAGTGAGAGATGAGAGGACAGGCAGGGAGATTAGTCAGAAGCCCACTGTAATAATTTAACAGCGATTTGAAGAGGGCAATTTCAATAGAGACAGAAGAGAAAGCGGATTAAAGTCGGATTTCTTCCTCTTAGGGAGCCGAGCAGGACGAACACTGAGGTCGCAGCAGCAGCAGCAGCCGCAGCTTGAGCGGTGGCGGCAGCTGAATGCCACGGAGGTAATGACAAGCCTCGGTCCCTCCTAGAAGGCTGTTCAGACCTGGCACCCCAGGACTCAGCTTATCCAGCCCGAGACAGAGGGGGAAAGGGAGCAAGCAAGCCAAGAATCTTCCTTAACGCTGTTCGTTCCTCTCAGGACACAATGGGACACTTGTACGAGCAGGTGTTACTGCAGCCTGCGTCTCAGCAGAGGAGCCGCCAAAGCCTCAGGTCGGAGGACAGCGGCTTGTATTATGCAGACATTCAACTGTACAGCTTTCCCCAGCCACGCTCTGTCCAGGAGGTGAAGCACCTACAGTTAAAAAATGCTACGGAGTATGCGACCCTTCGCTTCCCCCAGGTGACAACTCGCTATGACAGCAAGAACGGGACCCTTGTGTGAGCCCTGATGGGGAGGCACTACCTGTCGGCATCATTTCATCACTACGGCTCTGGGGGACTGGCTGGCAGCCTAAAGAACAGTGGACACGTTTTAGGCTTAAAGAACTCCAGAGCCCCCACTACTGCAAACTCCCAGTCCTGCGCTCTGCCTCGGCCTATCTCTTATTTGCCACCATTAGCAAATAGCTAATAGCACCATTAGCTTGAGTTACCTGGGGGTGGATGGAGTTGCACAGAATGAGGGTGCTAGGTTGAGTGTGCAAGAAGGTGGGGTGTTGACCCCTATCTTTGCTCCTGCCCTCAGGGAAAGTGCAGAAAGAACAGGTTCCCCTTGAAGCACTTGCACTTGAGCTGACTTTGTTGGAGTTCGTTTGATGGTATCCCTCCTACACACCTTTCAGCTCCTAAGCTAAAGAAGAGGTGTTCTGGAAAGCATTCAGGGCTCTTGTACACAGCTCCTAGATCTGGGTTGGGCAATTTCCTCAGAGGCTGGGTCAAAAGGGTCCAGACCCTACACGAACAAGTGAGGGCGGGACTGAAGCATGGAGCAAGCGTTTTTGGACCATCGATTGCAAGGACGTCAAGTCATTGATGTCGACAGCACTGCGAGGCCCAGAAACTTCCCCTTAAGCTGGACTGTTTTCTCTCAGGGATGCAGAGCCGTTAAGATCAATAAATCGCATAAGGAACCTGGTTGGTGCGTTTTCTTGGGTGGAGGTCTGCGAGCTCTCATTCAGCCTCAGGGCAGTAAGGAAGACCAACCACTTTCCACCGCCCTACCAGCTGCTATGGAAGGAGAGCCCGGGTGCGGTTGGCAAGCACTGAACGCTGCTTCCCAACCGCGAAAGGAGGGGCTCCGGGGCGGGGTCTGGGCCGGTAAGAGGTGGGTCTAGTAGGCAGGGGGCAGGGTTCTGGGAATCAGGAGGCGGGGTCCGAGCCAGCAAGAGGCAGGTCTAGACGGGCAAGGGGCGGAGTTCTGGCCCTCAGGAGGCGGGGTCTGGGCGGCAGGAGGCGTGGTGAAGACCGGCAGGCAATGTGCTCTGGGCCATTAGGAGGCGGGTCTGGACAAGCAGGGGGCGGGGTTAGGGCCGTAGGGGGCGGAGCCCTGGAGGACGCAGGCGGGCTCCCGCCAGCTGGAGGCGGATCGGTCCAGGCCGGGCTCTGCCGTCGCCATGGCAACGGGCACGCAGAGGCGACACTACAGCAGGAGGAGGCGGTTCTCAGAAAGGCTGGGGACAGAGATGCGGAACCAGACACATCGACGATTTAAAAGGTAGGTGCTGAAAGGTGGTGGGTACCTGGAAAGTATTATTATCGCCGGTTAAACTTCCCAGATCAGAACTGGGGGCAAACGGAGGGTTGAGGGTGTGGTGGGAAGGAGGTGGAAGTTTCAGGTTCCAAACCCCCTCAGAGCTTTTGCAGGTTCTTAAGAGTGCTGTCCTTGAGTCATACGTTCAGAGCTTGAAGACTTCCCTTTCTCAAGCTGTACACCATTCTCCCCAAATACCGCGGCCCCTGGCTTTGTTCCTGGGAGGAAAGATTCCTTAAAATGGATAGAGTATTGAAAAATGGAATGGCAGCGAAAAAAAAAGTCAGAAATAATAGGATCAATTTCTTAGAGTGTTTGTGGGAATTTAAAGCACTCGGAAGAGTTCATACCATGTAGACAAACGTTGGCTGCTGCCATCATCATTATCACCACTATTATTTTCTGTGTCCTCTGACACAGAACTAGTGCGAGGGGATTTAGAAGATGTGGCTAGAACCCCCCCCCCCCCCCCCCCGCGCTACTGATCAGCAGAACAACCCACTCACCTGTTATTAGTTGTGGGTAATAAAATGAACTCTATTTCCAAGGGTTATTTCAAATAAAGTTAATATAGCTGATAGCCCTTTCTAAACTTCAAGTGCTTTATAAAAATTTCTGCCTTGAAATATAAGTGCTCCCATTCTAGGTTAAAACTGAATTCTTGAGGATGAAGGGAAAAGTGAGTCAGAAGCAGAGCTCCTGTATTTCTCCGCATTGTCTTCAGAATTCTTCCTATGGTTTTTGACTTAATGGAGAAAATTTTCACATATTGAGGTTTGAGAAAGTCATTCCAACTTATAGATGATTTAACTTGAATTTTGTGCTAACTAAAACAGCCTGCTTGTGGCTTATCAAACATACATTTTACATCTGCTTTAATCGTTATAGAAAAGGGTGCACTGACTAGAAATACAGAACATGCATGTTAAAGATTAAATGCCTCTCTTCCTGGGACACCAGTGCTGTTACTCCTTCGATGATAAGATTCTCTTCCCAAGTGCCAAGGCCAAACCGACTTCCTGTGTACATGCTGATCTGTTTTTTTGAAAACTTGAAGGAATGAATCTCTGACTTCTTTGATGTTCTTTGTTCTGACAAGATTTAAAACCGTGCTGAAAATCATGCTTCTCCAGAGCAGTTGCTTAGAGTTATTTGAGAGGCTATCTCTGGGTTATAGTCCTCAGTTTGGCTCAAGTAAAATTCCTTTCTACTCCTATTATAGATTGTTTATTGATTATTTCTGTCAACAGAGTGATACATTTAGGGTAGAGGGAAAACGCATTCTTGCTTGACTAATGATAGGGAAGCATTTGTTTTTGCTTTTTTACTATTAAAACCTAAATGATTAGTATTAAAAATGCCACTGGGATAGCCCTGTTGTAATTATAGTATCTTGGGCTGGATTTCCTGCTAACTGGGGTCCTATTTTTTTATACTTCCAGATGAGTTAAGTGGGTTAGCCTGGAGTAGGAACCTGACCCCTCTAAATAGGTTTAACTTTTGGAATTTTTTTTCCTGACCGGTATTTTTGCCCGTATCTTTCCCTTCCTGTTTTAAGGTGGCCCTGATCTGGTTCTTCTGGGGATTCTGAAGATGGGTACCCAAGTGGTTATGAGACTCTGTAACTCCCTGCTGCCAGCAGAACCCTCTGTAAGTGTCTAGCATTCTATTGAGAGAAGTGTGATGATGTTAATGGAATTTCAGTACAACTCGACAACTGGGGGATTTCTCCATCAGGATTCAGATCCTGGAACAAAACCGTAATATGTTTGCTTTCTTTTCTAGCTTCCCCTTCTTGTGGAAAGACTGGCTCACTTGATTATTATCTTTTTCTGGAATTAATAAAATCAGGCAGAGGTTGAAAATTTCAAACAATTAATCAGAAAAATCCCATGGACAGAGGAGCCTGGAGGGCTACAGTCCATGGTCAGAAAAGTGTTGGACACAACTTAGTGACTAACAGTGGCAGCAGTTAGAACATATGGGTTGTTTAAAAGATTTCAGTAACATTTATTATATAAACAGTGTACATGAATCATAGAGAATTTGGGAAATAGTGCATTTCTTTAAAAAACATAATCCTACCATATAGCAACCCTGTTAATATTTTAGAATATTTTCCTCTGGTTTTTTTCCTACATATATTATTTATATATTTGAGATCATATGCACACAGTTTTTGCCTTTTGTCTTTTTAACTTAGTGTTTATTAATATGAAATTGCTAAAATGTTTGTTTGAATATGAATACAAATGTTTGGTATTCATCATAATGACTGTAATTTTCTTGACCATCTCTTTGTTGTCGGATTTGTAGGTTCCTCTCCCTGCGTTGTAAATGTGTATCTGTGGTTAGTTGCTAAGTCGTGTCTGACTCTTTGTAACCCCGTGGACTGTAGCCCACCTGGCTCCTCTGCCCATGGGATTCTCCAGGCAGGAATACTGGAGTGGGTTGCCATTCTCTTCTCCAGGGGCTCTCCCCAACCCAGGGATCAAACTCGGGTCTCCTGCATTGGAGGTGGATTCCTTACAAGCTGAGCCGCCAGGGAAGCCCCACATTGTAAATAAATAATTGATTTTCTCATTTAAGACGTTTTTCCCTTAGGATAGAGTTCCAGAAGTAGAATGCTAGGTCAAAAGATGTGGACATTTTAAATAATAACTTACTTTTTAAAAGAAGAATTGCAGTGTTTGATTTTGCATACATTCTTCAGAAGCAGAGGGACATCAGCTGGGAGGTAGGAACGTCCTTGATAGAAATGTGGTGACCTCTTACAGCGAGACCCAGGTCCTGGAGAAAGATTATTTCATGATTGTGGAATTAGTCATGTGCAACCCTAACACATTATGAGTGGCAGACCAGAGATAATGCGGGCATTTACAAGTGTTTTGTATGAGAGAAAAACTTAGGGTCACATCCAAAACATCCACTAGATGGCGCTAGTCTTAATCTAATTTTTTTCCCGTAGGATAGCTGGCAGATAACGTTTAAAATGCGAATTTTTAAAATGCATGTAGGATATATTTGCATATCTGCCTTGGTACAGTTTATATTAAGCACTAGCATCTGGTGATTACTTTGGCAACATCCTACTTTAGTCTCACACCATTCTGTCTTTTTTTCTTTTTTCTCCCCACTCAGTCTGTCACAATCACTCTGTACACTCTGTCCCCATATATTAATATTGGATCCTCTGTTTTACTAGTCTTCCTTTTACTATCCTTCCTTTCAGTCTTGTCTCTTGCCTCTGTGTGTGTGTTTATGTGTAACTGTGACTTCTTGAAGTTTTTGCCAAACAATAGGACCTGGTGCTCCATATACATTTAATGAATGTTTAATGAAACACTGCATTGATGAAGGAGAGGAAAATATAGGAGGGTACTAGAAATTATTTATACTTATCTTCAAAATACAGTAAAAGAGACCAAAAAATTCACATTCCTAAATGAACTATAAAATACTAACTGATATAGTATAAGAGCATGCTGTCACTTTTAGAATTTAAAGAGAAGCCAATATTTACTGAGCATATACTGTATGCCATGAAATATTCTTGGTTCTAGACATAAATCAGTAGCAAAACATACAAAACTCCCTGCCCCCATGGAGCTTACGTTCTGGGCAGAAGGGAGGCTGACAATAAACAAGTATATATAGAGTACCAAAGCTGGTGATGGCTGTTAGGAAAACAAAACAGGCAAAGAGGTCTGGGAATGCTGCCATGAGGAGGTGGTATCATTTTGTGTAGAGTGGTCAGGAAAGGCCAAAAGGATCAACAGGTTTAGACAGAGACTGAAACAAGAGCAGGGATGTGCCACGGGTTATCTGGGAGGAGAGTGTTCCAGACAGATTACCATCAGCTCTGTCTTGATTTTAACATCAAGAGTGGTCAGAGGAGTTCCAGGAAGAAGTGGGACTTGAACTATGCATCGTGAAGATTTGAGTAGCAGAAGTGTGGAACCTTCTAGGCAAAGAGATAGTCATGAAGGTATAGAGGTTACAAGGAGCCTTGTGAGTCTGAGACCATGAGGAGCCTATAAACAGCACAGGCAGTGAGGAAGGGGAGGCCTTAAGCTGGGCGTGAGGAACCTATATCTGACACGCTGGCAGAGGTCAGTGTTTGAAGATGTTCAAGCAGTTGAACAGCAGAATGAATGTGTTGTCTAAGGAAGATTAAGGGATGCAGACTGGCAGAAAAGCCTGGGGACAAAGAGGTGCAGTTTAGGAGCCAGAACGCGTTTGGGACTTTGCTGGTAGACATGAGCCCTTTTGTGTATATGTATTTATGGTGATGTCTCTGAAGATAAGTGCAGTAAAAATTGTAAACATATGTTACTGCCAAGGAACTTGCTAATGTGAGAAAACAGAGAAAGATTAAGAAATTATTTGAGTCATTTAAAATATTTCTGTTGACAATTTTCTTTGTTTATTCAGATTTTCTTTCTGCTTTATAGTCATTAATGATTACCCATAATAGATGTGTTAAATTTTACATAGGTGTGAGTTTCACACTTCTTAGTTCTCCGCAGGGAGAAGTCACAGTCAATATTTTTACCAAATGACAGTTTTGTTTAAGGTTCAGAGCTTACTAAGGCTAACATGTTATTGTTTGTATTAATAGAAGTCATGAATGAGTTTGCCAGGGTTTCCTCCACTGGCTCATTCTTTTATACAACTAAAAACATATAGTGAGTTCCTTCTATGCTGTAACATCATATAAAAATTTTGCATAATGATTAAGAATCTGGACTTTGGCTTCATTGCTTCGTAGTTGAATCGGGGCGAATTATCCTTTAGATCTCTCTTTCTGTATGTGTAAAGTGGGAACAATAAAAATAACTTACTAATTGTGGTAACTGTGACCATCGGCTGAACTAATGTATATAAGTGTTTTAGTACAGTGCTTGGCACATAGTAAAAGCTCAATTTTGCTATTATTAATACTGTTGTAGGTAGATATTCGGGTAAGTTTTGATTAGTGAGGAAAGTATCTGCCTTTATTGGTTTTTGAAAATTTTTATTGTATTCAAGTATTATTGATTTATAATGTGCTAATTTCTACTGTACAGCAAGTGATTCAGTTATACATATATCTACATTCTTTTTCATATTTTTTTTCCATTATGGTTCATCAGAAGCTACTGATTATAGTTCCCTGTACTACATATACAGTGGGAGCTTGTTGTTTATCCGTTGCCTCCAATGTTAAAGTAAGGTAGGACTGAGGAAGCTTGGTATAATTTCAGAAACCAGGCAGCATGGCAGAGTTATGCAGAAAGCAGCTTGCTTGTACTCTGCCTCTCCTCCAGGCAGAGTGAATAACAGGCCTGCAGTAGTGGGAGTGGTTCCAGCTACCCAGACTGGCTTGCAGTTTTCCCTTGTTCGGACATCGCGGGATGTAGATCTTTGTCCCAGTTGAACTAGCCCATTTATCCTCCCAGCTCTTGTGTTGATATCACAATAGGGTGAGATGGAGAGGACAGAAGGAAGAGGAAATGTTAGTGCTGCTTAGAGCTAAAGCTTGACTCTTTACCTGTGTCACTTTCTAAGTCAGACCATGATAATAAGTATGATGAACATATCTCTTGAGCCAAAAAAAAAAAAAAAGGGATTATCTGGTCCATCAAAAATTTTGTGCTTTTTCCGAGTCTGAGAGCCAGACTATATGTGAACATATTATAATTTGGGGAACATTCTAATAGTTGTGTGGGGACAGTGGAACAGATATTTTGAAATTATACTGCCTAAATATAAATGAATTAATATTCAATGCAGTTTAAATTTTGGTTCCACGCTTGCATTTGCCACATTTTCAAGTTTTCATTAGCCACATGTGGTTAGCGGCCACTGAATTGGACAGCACAGACATGGAATATTGCCACCATCACAGAAAGATCTGTTGGACATTATTGCTGTGGGATATGTGGTTGGTGTTATTATAGGCTTCCAAGGAATAGTGCAATCTTGGACCACATGCCCTATAATAGATTGTGTGTCTATTTACCACAATTCTCTCTTAATTCCTACAGCAGACGGTGAATGGCATAGGACTGGGCTTCAGAGGTCTTTGGTTCAGATTTTAGTTCCTGTATTGACTTGCTACCCGAGGGCTCAGCAGATAAAGAATCCACCTGCAATGCAGGAGATGCGGTTTTGATCCTTGAGTCAGGAAGATTCCCTGGAGGAGGGTATGGCAACCCACTCCAGTATTCTCATCGGGAAAATCCCATGGACAGAGGAACCTGGCAGGCTAAAGTCCATGGGGTCCCAAAGAGTCGGAAGCGACTGAGCACACATTAACTTGCTAAGTGACTGTGAGCACCTATGCTAGCCTTGGTTCCTTTATCTGTGAGATGAGAGAGTTGGGCCTGGTGAGATCTTTTTTTGGAGCTTTAAAAATCAGTCATTCACAGGTCCTACTTTGATAAATAGCTTGTCCTCTTAGAAATAGTGATCTCTTGGCATAGATGACTGTCACAGGACCTGCCTCAGTATTTTTTGCTTTGTCCAGAGCATGCTGGGCTGTCAGCCAATCAGAATCCTCCAGCTAGGGATCCACCAGCTGGGTGTTTTGGTTGCGCATCACTATGTATGTAGATGTGCTGCATACAATTTTATGCTCTTGGAAGTTTCACACTTCTCTTTAAAAAGGGGGCTTGTTGCATTAATTTGCGTTAGTGACTCAACTGAGGGTGTTACACCGTAAACTGTGGAGGTGGCAAGGGGAGTTCTTGGCACCCAAATTCGCCAGCTCGAAGGATGGGTCTTCTGACTCGTGGGCTGCTCAGGTTCAGTTTGATGTGGTGTCATGGCTTTTCCCCCAGCCTTATTCAGAATTGAACCCACAGCATTCACCAGCAGCAGTCACTTAACACCTTGGTTGACTTCAGCTTCCTGTTTGCTGTGGTCAGAAGGAGGTGTGTCTTTTCTTAGAAGCATCTTTGTGTTTAGCAGCTTTAGACTTTCAGGGAAGATAAGGCTAGTTCAGCTCAGAAAAGGATTTTCTTCTCTAGTGACCTGAGGAGGAGGCCATTAGGTTCAATAAGAACTATTACTGACTTTTCTTGCTAAGGTACTAATGAGGGTTTGGGGAGGGAATCTGGCCTTTTGCAAAATCACCAGGATAGAGTTCTAGCTCCTCACACAGCGTCAGTCACTGCCCTGCTGTGTCCCGGGAGCAAGGTCTGACCTTCTGTGAGCCCTAACACTCTGTAAACCCTTCCCCCCATCTGGGATCACGAGGTGTAACATAATATGGGTGTTCTTTCAAGCTTCCAATTTTCCTATAGAGACAAGAGCAGTGCGCTGAGAGTACAGATGACTGGTATTTTTAAAAATAAATAAGACCATTGACCGGAGTAATGAGAAACAGAGGGGAAGCGTTCTGTTTCACTTGAGGAAGCTTTTATCTAACTCTTTCCAGAGCACCAGGAGATTTGGCGGTGATTTTCATTAAAGCCCCATTTAATTAATTTAAAACCCATTTAAAATATAGGTTTTACATTTTATCAGTTATTTTAAAAAGAAAGGAAGAAAGAAAGTTTTTTTGGTAAAGCTTTGTTCATCCTTGGCTTAACCCTTGATGTATTTGTTGTTATCCTGTGATTGATTTACCATTATTTTATTAAATGTATCCTAATACCATCTCTCTATCTTCTTTTTCTCTCTTCTGTTTCCCCTTCTTTAGCCTGACCTCACTGTTCAGGCCCCAGGTGGGAAAAGGTTGCAGTTTTCTGCCAGTCTACGGTGGGTGGAGGGGGAATCTTATAATTCACTCGCCCTCCTACCCACCGTGTGGTGGGGCATTTGAGGCCTCAAGTTATCAGAGCGTGTGTGTGTAGCGCATGCACACGCCGCCATGCCCGCCTGTGTGTCAATGCGGGCGTGTGCGCGCGCACGCGCGTGTACCCTTGGGGCGCGCACAGATTCCAGGACTCCCCGCTGCAGACCTGCCGTGTGCGTCTGTGTGACCACCAGCGAGCGCATGCACTAGCCGGCACGCCCGCCGGCGTGTCAGTGCGTCTTTATGTTTGTGTGCGCTCGTGCCTGTGTAGTCTCGGGGCGCGCACACACACCGGCACGCCCGGCTGCAGGCCTGCTCTGTGTGTGTGTGTGTCTGCGGCGTCTGCACACACTCCCGGCCCGGTGTGTGAGCGTGCGTGTGTGCGCGCCGCGGGGCGCTCCCTAACGCACACCAGGCTGCGGCCCCCCCGCCAGCGCCTCTCGGCCGGGTGCGCGCCCAGCAGTTTCTATAGGAACCGCGGCAGCGCCCGGGCCCCTCCTGCCGAGCCCCGCGCGAGCATGCCCAGTGGAGGCCGCTAGTTTGGCCCGGGTCTGGGTTTCCAGTAAGTGGCATGCGGGACTCCGCAGACATCCCAATGAGCTGAGCCCAGAGGCTTTGTGTGCTCCGGGAGGAGGAGGCAGCGGCCGCCGGCCCGGAGACCCCCCCGGGGGGCCGGCAGGAACAATGCTAGCCTGCCTGACCCGGGGGAACTTACTGGACGTCCTGCAGGAGGGCTTCAACGAGGTAACTGTCTGCCCCTCCCACTCCCCGGCCCCCTCGCGCTGGCGCCGCCCGCCTCAGCTCCGGGAGGGGTCCTCCTCTGCCCCCATCTTCACCGGGACCCCAGGACGGTCCCCCCACAGAGCCCTGAGGAGGCCAAGGTGGTGGGTACGGTACTGTCGAGCCTGGTGGAATCAAAAGGGCCGACCTCTCGCCGCTTTATAGCGGGCCATGACCTTCCACGGTAGCTGGCCAGAGCCCGGAAGACAGGACCACGGATTTCAGAGGTCCTCTCCTTCCAGAAGAAATGGTCTCCGTGCTCCCCGGGGTCCTCCTTAAGGAAGCCTCCAGGGAGGCCCGTGGATAAATGGAAAGGGTGCTCCTTCTGGTTCAGTGGGTGGGCTGAGGGAGGGCCGGGGTGGCCGTTGCCTCGGTGGAAAGTTTGAGAAGGCAGGGTGAGTGGGTGGTCCACAGGAAGTGCCCTCTTCATGTTCACATCTCTTTCTAAATCTGGGACGGTGCATTTCTCCTCACCCTCGGGCACGATTGGCAGAGAGGGCTGAGGACAGATTTCTGGGGTGGAGAGTGGTGTTTGCTCCTTTCTGTGGAGAGTTGGAAACTGGGTCTTAGTCCGACTGGCAGTATGGACTGGGGCTGGCAGGGGGAGTCTTTCTCTCGGCACTTGTTTTCTCTCAGAATTCTGGTACGTTTCCATTCTCTTCTCTTGTGACCCAGGACTTTCGGGTTCAGGACCGTTGCCCCTTCGGATTTGCTGCGAACCTCTTCCATTGCTTCTGCACCTCACCCAGACCCCTGCAAGCAGAGCTGGACCCCAAGTGCCACCCTTCTTCCTTTCCGCCTCCCTCCTTTTCTTTCTGCCTCTCCCTCTCTTCCCTTTATGCCACTCTTTAAGTTTCAGGTTTGGTTTTTTTTTTAAACCAGTTTTTTTGTTTAACAGTTAACATATAATACATTTGCTTCTTAAATATGAACATTGCAAGCAAGACTGAGAGCCTGGTCCACCGCTGCCATTGTGGCTTTCCCCAGAGGTAACCATTCTCATGAATTTGCTTGTAGCATTTTCTTTCTACATCTGCACTACAGGCTGTTGCCTTAATTCGTGTTTTTCATTAAGAAACTCTGCAGCCTGACCTGTCTGAGAACCTTCCCCCTGTCCTGGCCCCTGTGCCTCGTTCCTCACACAGAGAGTTTCGAAAACTGCACAGATGCCATCTCTACCTAACCAACCAACCGAGTCAGAGTTTTCCTTTGGTTGGGGGGTGTCGCAGCCTTTACGGGAGCAGAGCTGGTGTCCCGCCTGCACAGCAGAGGTCCTCATCTTTGCATCAGGCGCTTGGAACACACAGAAGGGATTTGTTAACCAAGAGGTACAGTCTGAGCTGAAACACAGACAGGCCGGGAGGCCAGCTCTTTGAGTGCTTCCAGGATTCCTGGCTCCTCTTTTTTTGCTCTCTGCCTCTGAGCCTGCCCTGGTCTTGAGCCTCACAGAAGCTCTTTAGGCGCTCTTCTGACCTTCCGTTTTTGTAAGTCAGCCCCCAGGATCAGGTTCCACTGTCTTATTGGGGGAGGAAAGCAGCACAGAGTGAGTCCTGGTCTTTGCCATCTGCTCATTTCACCTCCAGACCTTTCAGCTGAAGAGCGCCAGGTACGCCAGGAGGCTGGACTGTCTTTTTTTTTTTTTCTTTTTCATGCTTTGGTGCTTCCATAAATGTCCCGTAGCATTCAATTCTTAGAAAATAAAAGGGCAAAGCAGAGTGGGAGAGTTTTCTTTTTGTGATGGTAACAGAGTCTTCATGAAAACAACAAACCACTTTATAATTAATTCATCTTGAGAAGAATGCAGTGATAACCTCTTTTCCCTCTCTGACACGGATTTTTCTACTCATCTTGTAGTCTTCCCTCCACCTCTGTCGCAGGCTAATGTACAGTCCATTTCCTCCTCTTAGTAGATCTGACCTCTGATAGCCAATAGGTATTTTTGTTTTCTCTGAGAAATTGACATCATGTAAATAATACAAATAGTAATACATTTAATATCAATGATCCCTTATAGTTTAAATAATTCTTTGATATATGTAATACATTATATTAAATAATGCTTTTCACATATGGTATCACATGTAATGCTACTGAATAATGATACAGTTGGTCATTTCAGAGTTGATGGGCCCTGTTTGACCTTTTCCAGCCTCTCGGGTTGCTTAATAGATCCACTAATGTTCAGTCTCTTCTGCTAGAGTCATATGATAAGGGTGTAAAGAGGGACTTAAAAGCCATTGTCAAAATACATTTCAATTTCTCTGAGAAACTCTTCCCCCTGGAGCTAAGAATACCACACATGTATCCAGTCATCTCCTGGGAATGAGCCGAGCATATCTGAAGCTGTTCTGTATCACCCAGATACTTTATAGGTCTATGTGGTTAGGGCTGTGACCTCATTCTCTATGGCAGAGAAAACTGCCACAGGAAATGAAGCTGTGGGCCTAACTGGTTAATTATAAGGGAACCCTGCAGCAGCAGAACCCTGCCCTCTGAATCAAGGCTTCCCTTTCTACACCGCTGGCCTCTGGTCTCAATTTGATTGCCATCCTGCCTGACTATGCACAACAGAATTTTCTTCTACCACCTTCCGTGAAGGATGCCCTTGCCTCTACACACCTAACAAATTCTCCTCCACAGGATTGATCCATGTCACAGCTGTCAGCACAGCACCTTATATTGACAAGGCGGATCTGCATTGTCAATTATCCACAAGCTTTGGCTCCTGCCTCACTCTGCGGCTCACCCTGGCTGTCATTCCCTGTCTCCTGTGTCTCCTGGCCAGGCTTTCTGTGGGTCACAATTTCCCCATTCTGCCTCTGCCTCAAAGCTATTTGTTTTCTCTGCCTCTTGGTGTTGATGTTGTCATATGAATGTTGTCTTTGATTCATGTGCCAACATGAATTTCTGGCAGTGTTTTTTCTAGGGGCTGAACTTTCTTTAAAAAAAAAAAAAAAGACTTTGGTGTTTGTGTTGAAAGGTTTTGACAGACCTGAGACTATAGTATGTTTTGGCAGTAAGCATTCATTCATTTCGCTACTTTGTTCATTATTGGGTTCCTTATTGAGGGGATGGATAAAACAATTGAAAACACACCTGGTCTCTGCTTCCAAGAAATTTATAGGGAGAGATTTATAGGTGTGCTAAAAGAACCATTGGGATGCTTAATGTGGTAAGCATCATAAAGGGGGTGGTGCTCGTGGGAGATCATAGAGATATCTTTTATTTAATGATATCATGAAAAGCACCGAATACTTACCAACCGACCTGATCACTGAGGCCAGGCTTTTTCCTTTTCCTGCTCGTTTGGTAAACATGCACACAGGCACTCATTCCACAGACATCCAATGAATTACTGTGTTTGCCAGGCACCGTGCCAGGCTCTGGAAATAGATGGCAAATAACACAGAACCGTGCCCAAGCGGAGCTCACAGGCCAATGAACATAAAGCGAGTGTCCAGAGTGGAACCTTGGGAAACCTGTGACGATACAGAAATCCTGCTTGCCAGGCAGAGCTGGCCTGTGTCATGGCCCGAGAGACTGGAAGTTGTGGGAATGATTTATAACAATGTTGGTCGACAGGAAGTCAGTCGTCTGAGCCCTAACCTTTTCAACAGATGACTTGGAAGACTTTCCCTACACGTTTCCCTCCGACTGGAAAAATAGAAATTTACGTCCCACATGGAGAGTCATCTGCCTGGCGGGCCCCGAGACATACAGGAAGAGCCTTTGTGTGGTGTGGTGCCCTCACGGGGACACAGAAGGAAGGGAATTGGCAGGTGGGGCAGCTGCGGGGCCCGTCTCTCCTGAGCGCCCCATGCCTTCGTCCATGGAGCGGGGTTTGCAGCGTGGGCCAGCCAGAGGCGCTCAGTCCTTTCCACAATGAATTCCTCTGTGCTTCGCTGTAGAAGTTAAAGGCCTGTTAAGCCTTCAGTGTAACTGGGCCCCACGCCCCTGACCTTCTTTCTTCTATCCTGACTGATTTCTGCTCTCCTCGCCCAGGCTCCTTGGCTCTGTTCCCACAGGAGGCAATGCCAGCTAAACAGATGCTCCCTGGCGGCAGGCTATCAGGCAGTTTTATGTTCCTCCCGGTGAGTGATGGCCTGGCCAGGCGTGTGCAGCCAGCGACAGGGCGCTGTTTGCCAGGTGCCAGCCCCCCGGGCGGTTCCGAGAGGCGGGGGAGCCCTGGGCGGGCTTCGGCCGCCATGACTGGCCTTGCTGTCTAGGCTGTGAGAACTAAAGGTTCCAACTCACACGCTTTCCTGAGTGTATTTTCTTGTTATCTACTAAAGGTTCCAACTCACACGCTTTCCTGAGTGTATTTTCTTGTTATCTACTAAAGGTTCCAACTCACACGCTTTCCTGAGTGTATTTTCTTGTTATCTACTAAAGGTTCCAACTCACACGCTTTCCTGAGTGTATTTTCTTGTTACCTACTAAAGGTTCCAACTCACACGCTTTCCTGAGTGTATTTTCTTGTTATCTACTAAAGGTTCCAACTCACATGCTTTCCTGAGTGTATTTCCTTATTCGTTATCTCCATACCAGGCCCCATGTGAGTGGTCACAGACATAACCTTTGGTGATCAGATATGGTAAGGGGGTAGGGAACCAATCCCAAAGGCCCTGATGGTGGGCTCCACGCCCTGTTTCCAGGATAAGGAACACTCGTAGATCATATAGTGATCATTCATCCCTTCACATGCATTTATTGAGCACTTACTTTGGAATGTGTACTCGTGAAGGAACAGAGTATTTGTGGAACCCATAACAAATGGAAATTTTATTTTTTAATTAAAAAAAAAAGTGTTTATTTGTTCAGTTGTGGCATATCGGATATTTTAGTTGTGGCATACACAGTCTTTTAGTTGCAGCATGTGGGATCTAGTTCTCTGAATGGGGATTGAACCTAGGCCCCCTGCGTTGGGAGTATGGAGTCTTAGCCACTGGACCACCAGGAAAGGC